ATACACTGGGGATGAGCAGCGACAGCACTGAGATACACTGGGGACGTGTCGCGACAGCACTGAGATACACTGGGGACGTGCAGCGACAGCACTGAGATACACTGGGGATGTGCAGCGACAGCACTGAGATACACTGGGGACGTGTCGCGACAGCACTGAGATACACTGGGGATGTGGCTGTGGCTGCATGTGACCTATGGCTTTATTTCAGAAGGAAAGTACCAATGCGATGTTTCAGGGGAGTAGCAATTTTTAAACATCACTGTATGCTGTGCATTGACAATAAAGGCTATTATACTGTATTCTGGATGCTTTGTGAGCATGTTTTATGGTTTGAACCATTCTCTCAGCCAGTCGATTGCTGGAGGGGTGGTATGGACTCGAGGGTATGTGATTGCCTTTCAGGAGCTCCTCCATCTCCTTAGATACGAATGATGGCCCACTGTCACTGACAATCTGCTCAGACAGGCCAAAGCCGCAAAACATCTCTCAGAGATGATGGTGGACATAACAGCAACCTCTGGTCACTGTGAAGGAGTGTCCACAGCCACCAGTACCATGGCACCTTCGACTGATCCTGCAAAATCCAAATGGATGCATCGCCCACATCACCCTCATCAGTTATTAAACGAGTCCAGGAATATGCATTTATTTGTTATTGAAACAGAAACATCCCAGAAGGAGACAAGCTAAAAATGTCTGTCTGTGGCTCCCCAAGGTCTGGGTTAAGAAACAGGGACCTAAACCCTCTCATAAAATATGGTTTAATGCTGTGGGGAGTAAGTGATTTTGTCAATTTGACACGCTTAGCGTGGGCTATGTTGACCACCTATTTAGAGCCAGGGTGTCTAGTAAAGCAATATAGGCTGATAACCTTCAGGCGGGCTTTTAAACTCAAAAGCAGAAGTTAAAAAATGGAAACCACAAATTAATTTTATTTCAATTATGTGGAATTTGTTGCTTTAATTTCAGTTTAGGTTTCGTGTCTCAGGTGTTTAGCTTTAATTTTGATAAATGAAATCCTTTACTTAAGTTCCCGTGTTTATCACATAAATATCGCATTTATTCAGATCTGGATCAACAACAATTTAAATATGTCTTTTGGCGAAGACAGCAATTGGTCCACACTGAAGAGACTATAAAGTATAGACACATTAAAACGGAGCTACTGCGTATTCTAGAAGTGCTGTAAAAATAGTTTCAAAGTAAAAAATAAATAAGTAAAAAAGATTACTATCACCATACACTAAGTGAGATGACTGACCCACCATGCATGATATTAGAAATTAAATACTATTACAATCATGCATTGAGATGACTGACTCATAGATTTATCACAATAACAAGATATTAACTAGTTAACAGGCACCTTTCCATTAAACGTGTCTGTTTAAATGCACGTTTACCTTTGATCTGGAGGAATAGGTCCCCCCCTGAAGTGCCGTGGATGCTCCATTGACCAGTCACTCTTCATGGAAACACAGCTGGGTACAGGTGAGCCTGCTCTCTCCATCGGGCCACTGTGGGCAGCGAGAGGAAACAAATCCTCATAATATAAATATAATTCATATAATGTGATACATGTAGCAAAAGCATGAATGGGACTCAGAAGGT